GCTGTGAAAGTAACCGAAACCAACAGGTGGTTGTGAGTTGAACCATAGGGCTGAGCAGTCGCAGTAAAAGCGGCAGTAGATAGCGGTACGTGTGGGATGGCGGGAATTAAATATTGCCGTTTGCTAATGGCGTACTATGATGGCAGAATATTGAGAAAGATAATGATCTGCTATTACAAAAAATTTAAACTAGAGCAGACATCGACTGAGAGAATTGGCTGTCTTGTACGGCCGATCATAATGACGATGCTTTAATGTCACTAGAATGTAAAGTACAAAAAGTTGATAAACGTTAATAAGCGAATGATTGCTATTGAAGCTGACCACAGAAACGACGTTGCTAAGACGATTGTAGAAGTGGAAACACCGTAAAGGCTCCACCGAAAAAATCATATTTGAAATTTACGGTGAAGTGGAACAAGGTAGAAGAATATACCATCGACAAGCTGAAATTTCATTTATTTACAAGGTAAACCGAATCAGAAATTAAATAGAAATATAATAACATTTGCCATTTGACCTATAATTTAAGTTCACGAATTACGCACAATATAGGGGATGTAATCCTTCTATTGTTAAGACATGATCGATTTGCGAAAATTAATATATTAGGTATGCGTTGTTGCTACAAGAAGTGGATAAACTCCTTTGTTTCAATTATTTCATGGTTTTTTGCATCTTGCAGTTCCAGCTACCACATGTTACAGCGCCCTTACAGCTTAGCACTTCGACAAGCTTTTGATGCTGTAAACCTTTCGCCTAAATCAGTGCCGATTAGTGCTTGGCTCTTGCTACCTGTTACCGAATTTATTGTAGAATCTCTAAACAGCCTTTTACTACTTTGCTGTCAAGAGAACTCCGTATGGCGTACTTTAGGCATTCATCCAGAATCTGCATACTCACTTGAAGTTGAGCCGGCCGTACGTACCATGCTCACATATTCCGATACACATGTACACGGTTCGCTCAAGGCACGCCTGAACTCATTAGCATCACGCAAAGGTCGTCTCCAGAACTCTGAGGGCGTAGAGAATGCCTGGAACGCGCAAGAGGGAGGGATAAGGGTGAGCAGGTGAAAAGCGGGAAGACGGTCTGAGTTCCACAACAATAACCGATCCGACGTTAGCAGTTGCAATATCAGACAAGGTACGCACGTTCTCCTGCGCCTTCCTTATTGGCTCGCTGCATTCCCTCTCGATTTGCCGTCTTCCGACAGCGAAAAACTTTCTTGTTCGTTTTCGCTCGTCACCAGCTTCAGTTAGTTTGCCACGCACTCGACCGTGCCAACAGTATTATAATCGCTGCCACCAGCAGAAACTTCAGCAACTTCTATTAGCACAACTTGTGCTGTGTTGAACCATCCATATAAGATATATGGGTGTCGGTCCTGGTCCGCAAAGCGGTCCTCGTTAGAACTGACCAGAAAGCAGATTGCTAACTTTGCCCTTTCCCCTCGCTTTGGCCAGCAGGCCACTCAGACGACAAGATAACGGCAATAAAGTGGCAGCCGGGAGAAATGTCTATTTTAAGAATACGCAATTCATTGCCGATGTATAGGGCGCAGCATACCCCAGAGTAGTATTCCACCAACCTATAAAAATCAATCAAAGCAACCGTTCAACATAGACCGCTTTTTTTTTGAAAAACTAGCCAACGGTCAGACGGACAGCCACGGATCTTTAATAGTTTATAGATAGAAAGTGCCGTTCAACTGGGTCTGTTTAATCTCATAGCCAACACCTGGCTCTTTCGACTACTTCCACTACTGTGCTAAACCCTACCATTCCAGCGTTTGAGTCCAGTACATCTTCTGTCCTGCCGGTGCAGCTGGTACCTTCTCCGTCAACGCTATTCGCTGTGTAACTGACTGCGTGGCCGTGTGTGTATTCGCTTGTGTCCTGTGTGGTCATCGCTCGATCGCTTGCTCGCTCACGCGCTGCACTCTCCCGCTTGGCGGGTTTTGCCCTTTCCGATGGCGAGTTATTCTTCGCCGCCATTGGCGGAGCTCATAGCGATCCCTAGCTGTTGTATGTGGAAGCCCACCTGATCTAGGGAGCGCTGCTGCCGCTGCTGCTACGTTCAGCCGCTGCGTTCGCCTCTCGACCACTCCACTCGACTCCTCGTAGGTACGACGACAACGGCGACGACGACGACGACGACGACGACGACGACAGGACGAGAGCGGGCAAGCTAGCAACTTCGAGCCACGACCAGTCGACACTCGCTCGCTGGTGTCGAGTCGACTACGAGACCTTTGGCATACACAGCACCATAATAGATAAATACAGGCAGTCAGGTCGGCAATGAGCGCTACTCATGCAGAGGCGCAGCAACAGCAGCGGCGGCGGCAGCGGCAACAGCAGCGGCAGCGGCAGCGGCAGCAGCAGCGGCGGCGGCGGCAGCGGCGGCGGCGGCGGCCGCCATCCACACAACATTGAATGAAGAAGAGCGCCGATGCTGCTCGGGCAGCAGCGGCAGAAGACGAGGCTGGTCGGCGGTCGGTTGCGATCGTGCTCTTGTAGACGCTGCTGTGTGTGGTGCTGCGGGCGATACTCGTTGGCTCGTTTGCTCAGTCGCCAGCCAGAAGCAGCGGCAAGGCTCATTGTGGGGATAGGAGCATTGACAGTGGTTTTGGTTGTGACTGGATGCGTTGCGGAGGCTGTTCAGTGACGCTGACAGTGAATGTAGCAGCTGCTGTGCGGACGGCCGACTGACGACTGCCCAATGACTGACTGACTGACTGAGGGACGGACTGCCATTCAGGCAAACAGACCAAGTGGATACGCAGCCGCGGTGAATGAGTGAACACGAGGAACGGTCGCTGTCCGCGTCCATTGCAAGCAGCAGCGAGCGATCTACCAGAAAGCCTAGACTAGTAATACCGCCAGTCGTGCAGATAGTACAAGAGCTAGTTGTAGAGGCGGTGTGACAATTGTACGGTTTCTGCTGCTCGTTGGATAGCTGCTAGAAGCGACCGAGAACGACAGCGACGGCCACGCCAGTATAAGGCGGTTTTGTCCGTGTTATTGCTGTCGCTGCCAAAACGGATCTGTTATTTTGGCATGACAAATACAACGTACCGAGAGCTTGAATAGGTGGCGCAGAGCATGCTGTTACGCTTGCTGACGTGTGCCAAAGTATACGGCAGGAGTGGCGGCGACAGGTGTTCTTCAAAACAGAACTGGTAGTACGAACGGGGTATAGTAGAGCGAATAAGAAATGCTTTCAATGCTGCAGAGCAACTGTACCTGTCATAAAAAGGAAGACCTTTTAACCTGTCACTAACTCCAATCAATCTACACAATTGCTTTAATACGTTAACGGTGCAAGCGGCGCTATTAGCAAAACCGATCATCGCAGATGGTTACGCTAACAAACAAACAAACGATCGCAGGTTGCCGATCGACAGGTGATGACAGCACCCGGTTGCTGTAACAATGTCCCGTCAACTAAATAGTTATTACTATATCTGCTAATAGCATTGACAGGAGTAGTAGTTATTGTATCGTCGCGAACTGAGTTGAGCCGCAAATTGGGCTAAACGAACGAAAAATAAGGGCAATCTATTTGCAGACCCGGTGCGGCGACACAGGTGCGTGATTTGCAAGATCATAACGGCAACCCCACTTCGTCTCGCTGTTATGTCTCAGTGACTGACTGCATGCATGGTGTTGCTCTGAGTGGCCGCGCTCGAAGGCGTTGCTGTTATTTGTCGTAAGTGAAATTATTATCACTGTTGCTTTATCGAGCATTGTTGTATCGTTCGTTAGGTCCTCTCTTTTTGAGCGGTCACCCACCCCGTCGCCAGTTCATTGAAGTCCGTTGGAGTTTCGTGTTATACTGGTTTCAAGAAGACGACCGAATGAAAGAAGAAGTTTGAGCCTACAACTTATTTTATCGGCGTACACGTTAACCGGTGCATCTTACTGTCGTTGACCCAGCTTCGTATTATCGTGTTATTAGATCGTTTTTATGCAATAGGGTGTCGTGTGTGTATGTGTGTGTGTGTGTATGTGTGTGTGTGTGTGCGCGCGCGCATTTGACGAAAATAGTCGCAGTAAAAACAACTGTGGTGACCGCTAATCACAGTGCAACCAGTCGTTGACTGTCGACCTGGAATAACGTTGTGTGCAAGGCTGATCCTCAAGTTTGCAGCGGAACCTCTGCATTCAGAGAGCGACAACAACAGAAAAGCAAAGAGGCAGCGTGACAAACCAAGTGCGCGTGTTTGTTTGTATGTGCTAACTTTGTCGCTGCCGCAGTCCGAACCGCTGCTGTGGCTATAACTAGCGTTTATGTCACCGTCTAGTGTTTGTTGTACGCAATCCATACTAACTGACCGACTGGTTGTCCATTCGTACGCTAACGTTTGCCGCCATAATACCTCCGCCGTACACACAGCTGCCACGACGGCCGATCGTCGCCCCGCCTGAAAGTGTCGTTCGTTCGTCCGTCAGTGCAACAAAAACGAAGGCACCAGAAACGAGTAGACGGACAGAAACACACAAAATAACAACTGTAGAACTAAATTCTATATCTAGTTGTCGAAAGCATTTAGTAGCTGTAACACCAATCTTGTAGCAGCCTCTACAGCATCGTATTCTCGGATAGGAAAGCACAAACGATAGCAAATACGGAATAAGAGCCTTACCCAAACACCGACCTCAGCTGAACTTTCAAGTGACCTCATGTAACAGAAGCAGCAGCAGCATTTGTGCCCTATTTATACAGTTACGTGTCCGTTATGGAAGATGGAAAGTTACCGTGAGAACGTGACGCACTCAATTCCATAATGCTTCTATTGCTATCAGCGTAGAGTTGTTGTCGTCGACCATAACGGAGCAATGACTGAACGGGATGATCTCTTTTTTGTGTCAGTTTTACACCTACGCTACGACCACCGTTAGATAGATTTGCCATCACTATTATTACTATATGACGACTGTCACGACGACGACGACGGCGACGACGACGACGACGACGACGACGACGACGACGACGACGACGACGGCGACGACGACGACGACGACGACGACGACGACGACGACGACGACGACGACGATGACGACGGTAAATTTGCTCTAGACGGTCGCCGGTGATCCTGCGCAGTCTGATTCGTTTCAATCACCATTACTATCCTAGTATAATATTCGAATAAGTTCACCGCAGAATAGACGGCATCGGCGTCATACGCGACAGGAAAAACGGTGACAGCGCGCTAAATAGCCGAACCAATCGAAAAGCTCCTAAGCAGAAGGCTAAAATCCACTTAAGACGAGTAGACGACCACGACGACGACAAGCGTAGCAATAGCATTAATTAACACAGAAGTACCAGTACTAGAAAAGCAACTAAACTGCCGAAAGCCCCGACGTAGAGAGGGTCAGATAGTTTGCTTCAGAAGTCGCCTCCGGCGCAGACACGATTGGCGCTCACTCATACGATCGACTGATGGTTCCTGCTACTTCAAAGTCCTCTGTTAGCAACACAGAGTGCGTGAGTGCAGATCAGAGCGTTGACAGTTTGGCAGCATTCTGTAGCAGATCTAGTGAATGGAGAGCTTGCCTGAAGCAAGGATCAAATTGTTTGCTGGCGTTGTTATTGAAATAAGTAGCCGTTCGTGGAGTCCTCGGTCTGCCCCTTGCCATTTTGCTGCTGTTGCTGGCCGTTTGCCAGTAGTGTGCTTTCGCGCGCGACCAGTCTGAGTGGGTGCCGCTGCTGTGTGTGTACCGACCCGCTCTCCTCGCCTCGCCGCGCCGCGCCGCGCCGTGTTGTGACTCGTCGGCTCCCGCAGGCCGTTTCGCTGGCTATTGAAAACACAGCAAGTCGTTGTTGTAGCCGACGGCTTCACTAGTACAAGTAGTTTTGGTAGTGGTGCCGGTGCTCGTAATAACCATCATACTGGGAAGACACGAGAGGACGACGTCATCGTCTTCGTCCTCGTGAGGAGGAAGGGTCCTGCTGTCTTGCGTGCCGACAGCAGCAGCACTCACCAGTTTACACCCAGGCAGACAACAAGCAGCAGCCGGTCCTGGCTTGTTCTGTTGCTACTTGGCTTGTCTAACGTCGGCCAATCAGTCAGGCGGGCTTTCGACGAGTTGGGGAAGCTAGCTAGAGCTAGAGTCGAGTAGAGTCAGCAGCCCTGCACTTGTTACTGTATGCTGGAGCTGTCCGTCGTTGCTGGTAGCCATTGCCTCTTCGACTAGTGCCACTGTTCCTGCCACTGTTGATTCCAGCATTGACAGCAGCAGCAGCAGTACAGGAACGCGCGCTTCTGCGCATTCAGGAGACATTTCTGCCGCTGTTGGTACCATCGCCGCCGCAGCTGACGGGATGTTGGTGCAGTTACGACTCGAAATCGTCGAGCTGAAAGAGTTCGACTAGTTAGGATTGCAGCGGACGCGGACACATGTTGCTATTGACGTCAGCCGGATGTGTGAGTGCGGGCGTGTCTTGCTAATTGTTGTACGGTTGAAAACATCTAGCTCAACGACGACGACGACCCCCTTGCTGCTGTTGCTCCTGTTACAACTATATACTGCTATATGCTACAAGCAACTGGATGAGGGAAACTGCAAGTTAGATGAGGAGTTAAAGGGTGGGAAGCGTCAAAACATCAGACCAGACGGTTGCCAGTTGAGCGAACCATCATTAACGCGCGGGAGAAGGCCCATCATTTGTCGTTGCATATTATAGCAGCATAGAAGAAAGTTCATAGTGAGTGACAATTGGCTAGGCAATATCCCCTTCGACGTGTTACGGATTACATTGTTTAATTGTAAATTGTTATTGTTGCAGTTGTTACCGAAGCTTCCATCATCTCATCGATCGTTGCTTGTTATCCTTGTGTTTCTGCTGCTTAGGCTTCGTCATATGTTATATAATAATGAAATGACAATGAACAAAAAGTCGTCAACTCTGCTGACCAGTGCTTTGGCTCGTTTTTTCGTTTAGTTGGATCGCTTGCCTATAATTGTTATACGGTCGCGACTGCACTTAGGGTGGATTTCCAGTTAGATTGAATGGATTGTTTGGAGGTGCCGCACAAGTGCGTAACATGAAAAGTGCAGAAAACGTACAGGGAGCAAAGTAACGCACAGTGGGCCGTCTCGATTTTGCTTAAGCCGTTCGAGCATCACCGCCGCTTTGTGTCAGCAAGTGTACAGTGAGGATTCTAGACGGAGAACAGCGCATAACGGAAAAATCTGCGCAAACAAGAGCAACCCCAGTGACACCTCAGTGTACCGCAGGTACAGCATGGACACCTCTGCTACATTTAGGACAATAGTCAGCTGATAGCGCCTAAACATGGTGAGTGCAACGTTAAATTTGTGCAAGGTACAATAATCCCGTCTATCTATATATATATATATAACCCCGATTTGTATATATGATTTGACTACCTACAGTTGTTTTGTTATTGCTTTAGTGAACACACAAGAACCTGGTTTATTGTTTCCTTCTTGACCCGTGTACAGTGACTCATCGCGCGGTCGCATGTAGTCGCTGAAGTACGTCGAACTCTGCCTAACAAGCTTTTGCTTCATGCAACGCATGATACTGCGCGACGTATTCTAAATGCTGAACACTGTAGAACAGAACAACTCTATAACAACGCCCGCGTCCGATATTGGGATGACTTCAAGACGACATTGACGTGATGCACGCGTCGTCGTTATTGGCTGTTTATGGGCACTGTTTGGATGATCGGCATACATCTGTTCCACTTCGATTGTTTGTTGTTGTTATTGTGCTTTCGGCGTCAGAGCGTACGAGCTGAATCGGTGGGTTTCGGAGGACGCGTGACGGTACTAGAGACAGTGACTTTTCTTACGCTTGCGGCTACGTAGCACTGTTGATGGTGTTACCGGCACATGGCAATGCACGGCACCCGCACGGGCCGGGCCTTGACGACAAATTTAGCGCGCACCCCCGGCGGGCACTCTCTCGCTGAGCTCCGGGTACACGCGCTACTCCACTCACCCCGCTCTGTACGACTCTGCGCCTCGGCCCTCAGTTGGTTGCAACCCCTTTCTCTTTTCTCGCTTAGTCCCTCTCGCTCTCTCTCTCTATTTATCTTTCTGTGTCACACTCTCTCTTGTCTCGTGTGTAGCTGACATCGGCCAGACAGACGGACTACTAAGCAAGCAGTGGTGAAGAACGAACCGGCAAGACTATCTCACTTCGCACGCTGCCAATATCGGTAGAGACGGCCCGCCTCCCTGCTACAGCTGCTGCTGACTGACTTTGTCGCCTGTTCGCGCGCTTGTCTGACCCTGGCCTTTGTGTACCCTTACCTCTTACGGCTTCTACTATTCAGCCTTCGTATGAATAGCAAGCAGTCAGCTGTCACCTCCAGCTAAAAAGATAAAGGAAACTGGCAGGTGGCAAGCACACACTCATCAGCCTCACGGGCCAAACGGGCGGTAGGAAGGGGGCGTTCGCTCAGACAATCCGTTTGCTATATGGTTGGACAAACGCGTAATGGGAATCTGCTATTGCTGCTGAAACTTGGGAAGCAAAGCAGCTACTTCTCCTGCAGAAGCCTGCAACTTCTGTTGTCGATATTGTTGTTGGTGCTTGGTTTCAGTGAAAGATCTGGCGGCGACAGCCATTAGCGCTACCACTTGTGTCATCACTGGTAGAGCAGTTTTACACAGCTCTCTTCTAGCATCTGCTTTTCGAGGTCTCCGACATTTGCGACCCATTCCGTATGTATTCTAATCAGTGCACTGATAAATGTGTGGATAAATAAATCGATAGACAAATAAATGCAAGAGAAGCGAAATATTATAAACCAGCAACAAGATCGGTGCACAAAAAACAACAGGAAAAATCAAGCGGAACGCAGAGCATGTCACAACAGTTTTAACATATGCAATAAAAGGAATTACATGCCATGAGGGTAGCTTACACAGCACCGATCCCTAACTGCAATACGATCCTAATTTGCTCGCTCGTCCAAGAAATAAGTATGCCCATGTGTACATGGGCGTGAACATACAAGCACCTGAAATGCAATCGGTAGCCGAGGTTCCAGGAGGAACAAGGCCGGAGCGCTAACGGCTCAATGAGTGTCGCCATACAGTAGCAGCACGCGACCTGTGGCCAGCGACAAGTGGCGCACGTGCATGCAACGTGCTAGCAAAGGTCAATGTATGATTACTTTATTATATCTATATTAAGCAGTGAGCATGCAAACGACCACATATACTGCACAAGTTACATTTGCAGAAACACGCATCGTGACCACGTACATTATTGCCAGGGTACGTATCATAGTATAAATATTGACGAAGTACACCCTTGCTGCAGAGCGATCGTGAATTATTGCGCTGTAGCTTTCCTCTCATGCTTATTCTCTGACTTTAGCACCCCATCGATGAAGTCGCTCGCGTCATCTCGATGAAGTTCAACTTAGCAATGTTATTAAGAGCTTAAGTTGACGTCAGGTCGTCGCGATGTGTTCCGCCCGAAAGATACAAATATGCCAGGTGTTCATATCGAGTAGAACAGACGCACTCCACTGCTCCGAATGTAGTACGCTGGCAAAAATCGGATGCTATCTTATTCAATCTTTTGCCTTTTAGTTTATCCCGCTTCACTTGGTTCCTGGCTCTATCCGCCTATAATAGCAGCTGTAACAGTGGCAGTTTCAACAAGAATTCATGCGGCGTCAGTAGGTCCGACAGAAGTGGCGCTGACGGCTGCACTGCCAACAGCAGCAGCAGCAGCAGCAGCAGCAGCAGCAGCAGCGACAGCAGAACGCGTAGTATTAACAACGGCGCTCCCATTCTAGGCTGCTGCTCCATGGTGATGTCATTGATGCCCTTCCTCCGTACGCTTGAACGTTGTCCGCTCCTTCGTTACTTTTATCGAGCTGATGCAGAGGTAGAACAGAGCGGCGAGAGTAATAGTCGTAGTAAAGGTGGCACGCAGCAGCGGCAGCGACGACGGCGGCATCATCATCATCGCTGATATCATCGTCATTATTATCAAC